ATATGCAGATCGCATTCATGAGGTGATTTGCATGACCATTTATGGTTGAACTAGGGCGTGTAGAGGGTGGAATATGAGGCGGATCTGGGTGAAAAAAGAGAACATTGCGTGCAAGTGTGCGTGCACACGGTTTTATAAATCAGATTATTTTTCAGCTTTTGGGCGCACGTCAACTTTTAGTATGAATCCTAAGCACTCTTTTATAATTTTATAAATGAGGCCCCAGATCTGGGAGTTTCTGCCGCTAAAGGAATAGTTGGACATTTTGGGAAGAACGCTTATCTGTTTTTTGGCAAGACTTTGATGAAAAGATACCACTCAAGGGTTTCCCCCCTTTTTTAAGGGGGAGTTTTACCCTTACCTGAAGCGAGAGTCTAAGGACAGAGGGTGTCGTATGCTGTACAGATTGAGGCAAATCTGTCACATTGGGCTCTATAAATAAAATTGACATGACTTGACAATATCTGTATCATAAATATTAACCTACGACCAGCAGCTGTGTAGTTTAGCTTAGCATAAAACAATGAAAATGAGGGAAACGGCTAACCTGTTTTAGTGTTGTGACGATACTGGACTTTCTAACATATTCAATAACATTTAGATACCACAGGGGAAAACTGACATAGGGCCTAAAATGTAAAAGCTTTACTGAAAGATAAAAAAACAAAGATGTAACATGACAATGGCAACTTTTCTTTTATGGTTAGTAGCGGAGAACAGCAGAATGACTGTAGTGCATGATAACAATAAGAGACAGCGACAAAGCGCAGCTAGCACTGGTGTATCGATACTTCAGAATATTAGTACTGAAACTGTTAAAAATTTTTAGAATCGATATCTATCAAATCGATATTTTTGACAACACTACTCTGAAGTTAACAAAAGCTGCCTATCAGCACCTGTAAAGCTCTTATTTGCTAATTCACACCAAAAAACAATGTGGGAAAGCATTTTGTGTGACATACTTGCCAATGCAAAAAAAAAAAAAAAGATGTGACAATGTAGGCCTTCTTCACAGCATCAGTTTTCTTACTCAAAACTCAAAATAAACATTAACTGACTAAATTCTTGTTTAAATGAGGAGATAAAATGCATCACTTTAAGACTTACCTTTGATTTTCCCTGTAGCATCTCTGTACACAACCTCAGCCAGTTTGCCACTCAGGATCTCTGGAGAAAACTCATATTCCCCCTGGTAGGAGTGAAGAGCAGAGTGTTAAAGTGAGAGCTTCTGTGTGTGTGTGTGTGTGTGTGTGTATATATATGTTGACTATTCTTTTTTCCATTGTCAATTTGTGACACACTAACCAGGTCCATCTCGGCTTTCTCCAGCTCCTCCCTCTGCTTCCTCAGTTTCTCACAATGCAGCAGCTCCATACGAAAATACTGACACAGAAGTCATTGGAGATAGTAAGGTAGGAATATTTGACAAATACACGTGCACGTGCATCACTCTTTCAACAGCAGCTACTGACTCTTGTCACTATATTTCACTCAAGCACACCAGTGAACAACGTCTCTCTGTACAGGTTTTCATTGTTTAAAAATAGAGGCAATAACCTTGGATAAAAAAACAACAACAACATATATTTAGCTTCTGTTACCTCCTGGTAAACTTTCTTGTTGTTTGGGTGGAAGCGCAGAGCCCTCAGAAACAGGTGTCTGGCACTTTCAGAGGAACTTCTATCCTCCAGCTCACTCTTGGCTGCCATGATCCACAGGGCTTAAAGACAGAGAAGCACATGGTTACTATTAATGACAGATAATAATTGCTTTGTTACAACAGACTGTAAAACACAACCCTCTGTACCTGGTTTGTTGGGGTGTATAGCAAGCATGGCTGAGAACACCTTACTGATCTGGCCTTTGGTGGCCTGATGAGAGAAAGGAGACGATTATTTTTAGCATGAGAAGATGCCGCATTTGGTCTGAGTTGTACTTAAAGCAAATAATGAGATCACGTACCCATTTCTTACAGAAAGCGACATGTGAGAGCCACAGCTGCACATCATCCTGTGACAAAAGAAGACACGATTGTTCACTCAGTTATGCTTACAATTATTCAGCCAGTTTAAACTAACTATAAATTGTATCACATTGGGCTACATATTTGATTTTAAAGTAAATAGTGACGGAAAAATAAGCGAATCACATAATAAATGAACGTGAATAATATTCTAATGATTTTAAAGAATTGTGATGGTGACATTACCTTCCATTTTTTTGTTGCTCTTCTGAAGACACTGTTTATTCTATGGATGATGGGGTACTCAATCTCCTCTCTTTTGAACTGGTAATGTATGTGCTGCCAAAGCAAAGTTAGACACACTCAGACATTGTGATGATTATATGAAAGTAAATTAATTTCTTTTGAATTTGTGTTAAAAAAGCTCAACACGAAAATTAAAAAAAAAATGTCTACCTTAAAATGAATCCTATCTGAACATTAACGCTACATAAAGCCAAAAACACACCACTTACCGCTCTTCTCTTCTTAAGGAGCTCTAAAATGTTGATTTCATACTAGAATCAAAAACAATTTTGACATTAGTGTTTTAAAAACAACTTTAATTTCTCCTTTGTTTTACAATGATGACAGTAAAGGCATCCTACCTGGATGTATGCAATGAAGTCGTCTTTGTTTACAATCAGCCTGTGGAGCTTGTATTCCAGAGCTGTGGCTCTCTTGATTATGGATCTGAAACAACAATAATAATAATAATCTTTATTTATATGGCACCTTCCTTACAAAAAAGTAGCTCAAAAGTGTTTTACAATCTTTATTTAGACTACAGTGTCCTATTTTTGGCTGACTCCATGGGCTTATGGGTTTGTATGTTACTTCACTACTCCAGCAGCTCCAGGATTTGATTCTGTCATGTCACTTTACTGTACACGCCATGTGTATTTTAGGGTTTAAATCCACTAATATTTCCTCTGCACTGGTGTGGTCAACTACAGAGTAAGAAGATTTTTCTCTCTGTCATCTCTCCACATTACTGTGGACTGTTGCCCACAAACACATTTCTCAGGTGGGCGGCAGCACGATCTTATCAAAAGGATGCCCTTTGTATATTGATGTGTTTTTCTGTTGGATGAACACAACTGGAAACCCTCGGTAAGTGACATGTCGTCTTACTTGACTTCTTTCTTGGTGAACAGTCCCACTCTCTCCAGCTGCTCCAGCTCAGGGATTCTCTCCTCGATGCGATGCTGAACGATCTCCGCCATCTTGTCCGCACACACGTAACGGGTTCAGGTCCGACTTTTGTTTGGTTGAATTAGAGTTATTTATGTCGACCTTCTATTAGAATATAATTTGACTATAAGCAATGAGGCATCTTTCTCCCCCACACATGTGTGGAAGTTGTGATTCGCCGCACTTCCGGTTCCGTCTGTAAAAAGTTCCGTGTGGAAACACGATGAAATGTGTCTGAGTCTTCAACAGTGTATGGTCTGAGTGATGGCAAAATAAATTCAAACTTGCTAATCCACTGATGTTAGGAGTCACATACGGCTTTTAAGTGGCATTAAATAACAAAAGTATTTGTCAAATACCTAAAAGTAAATACAAAATTGCTGATGGGGAAATTTTAATAGATTTTAAACATTTGAAAACAACCAAATGCCACACATTTAAGGAAATTAATTTTAAATTGTATCACTGTTTTGGAAAATTAAGATATTCATAAGCTGCTGCTGACATATATGTGAAGAACTTGATGACAAATTCTTTCCTCATATACGTTATTATTTTCTGTCTTTCTGTTTTCTATTACCATGTACCATACTGTAGTCTGCTGCTGTTGCAGGTACAGTCTGCTATGTATGCTCCTGTGAAGTTCAGTCTCAATGAGAAATGCGATTGTAAGAGACTGTTAGTTGCTTGTGAGCAGAGAAGGTGTGGTGCAAAATAGGGGAGGCACTTCAAATATTTTTTGGGGGAGGGAATTGTGTTTTTCAATTTGCTTTTGGGCACATATATTTATAAATACAGTCCCTACAATATATGATGTATGTCTGACTAATTTGAAGCAGTAAGGCACAGTTCATCACTTATGTGCAAAGAGGGGGAGGCATGTAAAATAATTTAAATTTAAATTCATTTTACTGCCAATATTCAATATGCCTTCCAAACCTATCGTTTTTCTTTAAAAATTGCCAAAGTTGCCCCATTTATGATAGCCAGAAACTGTAATAACAGGAAGAATCCTTGGTCACATCATATGTCATGAACACTTCCATCAGAGAATCTGAGCTCAACTAGTCTCATTTAACATTTGGCTAAAAAGAAACCATTTACAATAACTAACCAGCATGCATGACAAGAGTGAAAACCCAAGGCTTTTTTCAACTCCAGGACTTTGTCTTCAGCTTTTCACTTTTTACTTTCAAGCATCAAAGGGTAAGTAACAACTAATTTGTGGTGGAGGGAGGGTCATGCATTTTCTGCCAGTCAGGGAGGATCAAGGAAAAATATTTGTAGCTTCAGGGAGGGTTGAAACAAACAAGCAAACAAAAAGAAAAGTCACAACCCAGCCACCCTCTCCTCTGATAAGTAATGAACAATCCCTAAATACCACATACTATGAATGCCAATATTATTTAAAAAGATAATGTTGATGATATATATGAATTTTATATATATTGCCAGGATAATGATGCCCTTGCCTTCATAGTAATACCAAAAAGTGAGATCAAAGTCGTATTATTACCCTAAAAATAACTTTAAGCTCTTTACTGTGTATTGTAGATGACTTTAATGTAGACTGTCGTTCTATTTTCTTTTTTTTTTTACCATGAAATTCATTCATTCAATTCATCACGGCGTACAATCAAACAGAGAAATTCCACAGCATGCATGATAAGTTGAGCTGTCTTGATGAGAAGTCTGATAAACTCGATTTCCCGCAAAATCGCAGAAAGCGAGAGCGGGTTGTATGTCATCTCCGGAGGTTAACAGCCAATCACAGCGCTGCATTCTCTCAGTCCGTCTCCTATTGGCTGATAACTGACTACAGCTCTGTTGTTCAGTACAAATTGAAGGAAACCACACCGACAATAAATTTGATATAGATAATCAATAATTTGATCCAAAATACTCCAACCAGCAACGATATCAAACGGTATTTGAGGCAGCTGAATGCGGGAGAACCTCAGGCATACGGTGGTTTGTTTTCTAGTAAACCATGCTAGCATTGCTAGCTAACTAACTAGCCAGCGTCTCGTCGCCTCCTCTTCATCTTCATGGGTTTCTGCTGTTGAGTCTGCCAGGCTTGTGCTGGAGGCAGCGAGGCTAACAAATTAATGCCATCGGCCAGGGTGGGTTGCCTTTATTTATGCCCGATATCTATCACATGCCGTTTTTACGGTTTTTGTTAATCGAAGTCTGAACAAACGAACGGATACTACGCTGAAATACCAAGCTCACTAACATGTTAGCATTGTGCTTTTAGCTGAGCTAGCTAGCTCGACTGCTAACGCGAGTATCTGCCTACTGGCTAAGCTAACATGTTGTATCCCCCCCATTTGTACTGTGATAATTAATTTGTTAACAGGTGCCGTTGCTTCACTCGCAGAACTCAGGTCATATTATGAGTGGGGCGAGTTGCAAAGCTAACGGCGCCGTGTACCCCGCCTCATCAGCAGTGATGAACTCTGTGAAGAAGCCGAAGATGGAGCAGATTCAGGCCGACCATGAGCTGTTCCTACAGGCCTTTGAAAGTGAGATTTCACCACTCGTCACTTTACAGTGCAACCTTTCTGTTTTGGTATCACGAGAACTTTTCCATGCTCTCAGAATGCCTGTAGCTACCCGCTGAACTTTTCTGATACTTATTTTGTTTCCAATAATTGCTTTTGGCTGACAGGCCTCCCTAGTTTATACTCAACAGGGAGCTCCAGATATTGTTTGTTTTAACTAAACAGATTTCATGTTAATAAAAACACATGTATTGCTTAATGTCTTCAGTTTTTCTTTGGCTGGTGGATATTTTGCCCAACTAACCACCACCTGTTAACAGCCCTTCTTTTGGCATGTGTTAGCAGTAGTATGGATTAATTTCTCAGATGCTGACACAGTGAAATGGAGTGACAGCAGACTGATGGAGGGGCCTGTCTCGTGAAGCAGAACAACTGCACTCCTCTTTTACTTGGAACATGTTTAAAATATTTGTGGGGTAGTTATCCAGAAAACATAGTGATAGGGTAATGTGATGGTTTCCAGAGTAAACATTATAATGATCCCTTTTTCTGTTTCCAGAACCAACTCAGATATACAGATTTCTCCGCACAAGGAATTTGATTGCAGTAAGTAAACTACTGTACATATATTTCCGTTGTATTGATTAGCCAGCACACTTAAAATGAGAGTGATTAATTTGTTCTTTTTTCTCTTTTCAGCCCATATTTTTGCACAGGACGCTCACCTTCATGTCTCACAGAAATGGCCGAACAAATGCCAAAAGGTATGAAATCTGACGATGTGTCTTGATGCACCAACAGAGTTATAAAACATGATTCATACCTGATATGTTTGCAATCTCATTTATGTTCTGTCACAGTTTTAACAAATTGATTTTGAACCTGTGTGACCTGTGATCTTTCCTTCAGGAAAACATTCAAAGTGGATGATATGTTGCAGACAGTCGAGAGGATGAAGGGAGAGCAGGATTCTCCAAGGTAACGCAGCTCTGCATTAGTTGATATGCCCCTTTTTTATCACTGGATAGTTTCTGGGGATGTAAATACCAGAGAAACTGTATTGACATAATTAATTACCATTCATATACCATTGTCGTTGGAGCACTTGATGTAACCCAGTTTCACCTGTGCATTTTTCTGTTTGCCTTTCAGTTTGTCTTCACATCTACAGTTAACCTTCACTGGGTTCTTCCATAAGGATGGTGAGCAGATTTTACTCAAGTGCTTGTGTTCAGTATATTAGTTTATAAGAAAAATACTAATGCATAAAGAATTGGCTGAGTAAAGAAGTTTGTTTTTTATTTTATAGTCATGCTCTGACTGACATCAGGCCACTTTATTTACATGCACGCTAGTATCCTGGTTATGATCAGGTCTGTGGAGTATCCTAGTTAAGCCCTTATTCTGTGTTGGATGTGCTGCCTTGAGTACTCTGATAGAAAACAGGATACTGTGTCACGGCAACACCTTATTCAGGTTTCTGATTATTCAGAGATGGCAAGAAGTCAGGACACACACAGATGATCAGAAACCTGGATACTGTTAAAATCATGTTCAGGTTTCTAGTGTTCAATGTAAACATCCTGAATAAGATCAAGACTATAATAAAACTCAAAACCAGGATGTAGGTTTGCATGTATACACACTCATTTTAAGTACGATGTTGCCATGACACCCAACCACAGTTAGTAAGCACGAGAATGCTAACAGATTGTGGTAAAGTAAGCGGTTAGCCTAAAGGAAGAAAATGTAAACACCCACTGACTACTGAGTGTAGGAGCGGACACTTCTCCACGACATCACGGAAGATGTTTTGTCTACCAGCAGAGCATTAGACTTGCATAGAGATAACAATAAAAATCATGTGTGCTTTACTATATGTTGATTGACACAAAACTCTTTTTGCTGCCATACAGAAAAGCCATCTCAGAATTCAGAAAATGAACAAAATTCCGTGTCCTTAGAGGTGCTACTTGTCAAAGTCTGCCATAAAAAACGCAAGGTAAAGTAAAATATTATCAAGACAGTCTCTCACTTTAGCAGCAAGTCATTTCATGTTACCTACTATTGATTGTGTTCGCTAAATTAAGTTATTTTTCCCTCAGGATGTCAGCTGTCCGATAAAGCAAGTGCCTACAGGTAAAAAGCAGGTGCCTTTGAATCCTGACAGTAACCAAACCAAGCCTGGCTCCTACCCTTCCTTACTGGTCTCCAGCAACGAGTTTGAGCCCAGCAACAGCCACATGGTCAAGTCCTACTCGCTCCTTTTCAGGGTGTCACGCACAGGGAGGAGGGATACTAATGGTCTAGTCAACGGAGAGGCCAACGAGAACATTGGTAGGAAATCCACATCAATACCTTTTGCGTTCCACTCACCCACTGGAAATACTCTCTGTAGTTTAGGTGAGTGTAGAGGAGGGAGAACATGATGCAAAAAGTATGCTGCAGAAATCACAGAGTTATGTTCATAAGCCTGTTCATCATTCGGTGATGGCCCTTACGGACAGAATTTTGTCATCTCTTCGGTTAGACCTTTTCATCATTGCTTTGTGTAAATGACCCTTTTCACCCCCAGATATTTGTATTCTTTTGGTTTCACGCCACTTGCATGATAGAAATGTCATCAACACGCCCACACACTTAATGTGAATTCTCCGAACAATGGTTTGCTCTATTCACAGGGCTCAGTCAAACATTACAAAGACTTTATACCAGGGAGCTGGCAGGGTAAAGTCAGATTAATGTCTGGTCCAACTAATTCAGACATTTGCGTTCTCATATACAGCTTCTCCCGAGTAATGTCTAGATAAACAGTGCATGTTTGAAAGGGGCTTATGATGTTCAGAATTGGGCCACAGCAAGCTGGGGGTCCCAACGAGCCAGTCTCTCTCTGGGCACATCATGTAAAAAAAAATGTTAACTAACTGAATGGATCTTAGTTGTGTATGAAATTTCTCGCCATCTTTTTGTGTGTGCAAAGATGTAACAGATACTCCTAGTAGGAAGAAGAGAAGTTCATCTCATAGAGACGAAGGGGAGACCACAGAGACCTTTGTTGCACAGATGACTGTCTTTGATAAGAATAGGTAAGGTTTCCATTCAGGTTTTAAAATCGCTTCTTTTGTTCGTGTGACTGTACGTTAAAATCACTGATCTTGATTTGTTCTACGCAGGAGATTGCAGCTGCTGGATGGGGAATATGAGGTGTCGATGCAAGGGATGGAGGACAGCCCTGTCAGCAAGAAGCGAGCCACGTGGGAAACCATTCTTGATGGAAAGGTAGGGGAGGGGTTGTAAATGTGTCGGCATGAAGCGTCGCCTCGTAGGCTCCCTTTCCTATCTTTAGAATTGGTTGTCATCTTCACACCACTGACTGTAACTCTGTATAACGGTCCCACAGAGACTGCCACCATTTGAGACATTTTCTCAGGGACCCACATTGCAGTTCATGCTGCGTTGGACAGGTGATGCTAGTGGAAAGTCCACTGCCCCTGTGGCAAAACCCCTCGCTACACGCAATTCCGACAGCTCCAGCCCCATGGAGACTAGGACCAGCAATCACAGAGCTGCCCTCATGAGTAAGTACAGAAACAAAAATCCCTCATAACATCCCTCATAACATCTTGAATTATATTTAATCCTACGTTACATTTAAGAGCAGGAGGCAGAAAACGTCTATAGATGATGAAGGATTGGGAGGGGACATAAATATTTAACAGTTCCACCTTCTGCTTTATTAAAGTACTGTAAAAGTGTTCATAATTGACACTGAGCAAAGAACTGATGATCATTTATTCATCACATGCCAGATTCTCTGAGCAAAAGTCTGAATGGAGCATGATTTTGGATTTTGTGTCACTGGTGTGGGATGGTCTATTTGTGATGGTGTATTTGTGAATCTGGCAAAAGGCACCCTGTGAGTCATAGCTGTTTAGTCCTTTTGAGACAGTCGCTTCACTCCTTGAATGTTCTGGCAGCTTAACATGTCGCTCTTTTGAATAAGGCCCTGAGTCATGTTTCTGAAGAAGTCATAAGTATGTGTAAGTGTCAAGCAAAATGTTTGCATACTGCATATGAGCAAAGGGGAATCCCATCAGTCATTACCTAACATCTTGTCATTTTTAACTCTGTTTAGGCTGTGAGAAGCAGGCGGCTGAATTCTGTATGTTCTTTGTAATTAATGAAGAAATGCACGTAGATGTTATATCAGTCTGTCTACAGGGTTGCACAGGCAAGTGAGAAGTGGTGCCGAGGCTTCCTTCAGCACTCATGATCATCATTAATCAAGCCACAGAAAAGCATTAATTCAACTGCAAAATAAGTTTGAAAATTCAACATTGATGCAACCTATGAGAGACTTGTAAACACTCTTCTTCTCCCTTGTTACATTCTGACTGTTACAGGAGCAAAGAATCCATCATGTACTACTGCTCTACCTGTGAAAATTTGGTCATCTTTTGAACAGAACCATTATAGGAGATTTACATAATAGAGACAGCAATGTTGCTATTCCATGTGTGAAAATAAATATCCAAAAGCGGCTTTAGCAACAGCTACTACATTTACATGCACAAAAAAAATGATCCAAGTCTTTCATAATGTTTAAAAGCAGGTGTATTTCTCCCACCGACCAGAAATGTGGGCTTTTCTTTTGGGCATGCATCTCTACCCCACAGCCTTGCAAAGTGTTGGCTACTTGGTTTGTGTACAGTGCACCATGGAGACGCACAGAGCTGACTTTACACAGGCAAGAGGCCATGTTTTGCAAACTGCGGTTAAAAACTCCAACTGAGGCGCATATTCCAAATGTGTCACATACATGTCCAAAAACTCCTAAAACCTGACTAATACTGGAACATCCCACATGTCTTAATTTTAAAATGCTACATTTGTAATAAGGCCTTTATTCAGAATTTCCAAGCAGCATATGCTATTTACATGAATATGGAATAGTGGTGAGCATGTTCATGCATATATGTGCTTGGTGTTTAAATCTTCCTGTTATGTGGGAAAGGACACTACATTTTCTCAAATACACTTTGAATGTATTAAATCAAATTTCTGATTTGGTGATTAACCTTTCCATCTGTTCCTGACAGCAGTGAAAGAGTCAGTCAGCACAGACATTCAGACGAGGAAAGAGCAGGTCCAGTGTGAGCCGCGGCAGAAGCTACGTATATTTTATCAGGTATACCACACCACAGTAAGAACTGCACTGGGCCTGGGCAACTGATTTGTAAGTGTTTTGGTGACAAAGCTGAAAAGCACAATGCTTTTGAAAAGTTTGGAATAACTTACATTTTAAGAAGTTCACTGGTTTGTAATTGTTCATCAAGGCAAGTATACGGTTCATGAATATAGCTGAAACTGTACTGTTTTGACCCTGTTGGGCACTCAGTCCTCAGGGTGTGTGTACCAAAGTATGAATTGAATCATCCATTTAGATCTGCTGAAGGTCGACTTTCTCTGGTTTACGTTGTAACTAATGTCATCTGTCTGTGTTTAGTTCTTGTACAACAATAACACGCGGCAGCAAACAGAGGCACGGGACGATCTTCACTGTCCCTGGTGTACCCTGAACTGCAGCAAACTCTACAGCCTGCTCAAACACCTCAAACTCTCTCACTCCCGCTTCATCTTCAACTATGTGGTAAGGAACTGACTGTTTGTAATTAAAGCCTCTTAATTGCGTGTGTGGTTGGGCCAGTCACATGACATGACTTCCTTAAAAGCAATGTTTAAGTCGCTGACAGACGTAGTTAAAATTAGCCCATGACATCCTGAGTCCTGTTTGAGTGAAGCCATTCATGTCACAATCTCACCACTTCTGGCTCCCACTCAGACTCACACAAACCTCTGTAAAGAAGTAGCAGCCATTGATCCACAAAAAAAAAAAATATCTCTCTTTGTCCTTGTCCTTGTTATCACCTGTAGTTTTCACTACACAACAACTTATTAATGAACACTGACGTCAGTGGCCCCCATGTTTACTTTGTACTACTTTGTTCAAGGTGAGTCCATTCAGGACTGTGACTACAATTTAAAAAATAATGTGACAATAATGGGACGGGGCGTCGGTGGCTTAGTGGATAGAGCAGGCGCCCCATGTACAAGGCTGTTGCCGCAGCGGCCTGGGCTCGACTGCAGCCTGTGGCCCTTTGCTGCTTGTCATTCCCTCCATCCCTCTCTTCCCTCTATCTGTCCTATCAATTAAAAGCAAAATGCCCCAAATAAATCTTTAAGAGAATAAATAATAATAATGTGACTGCCAAGCAAAAGATCTGAGCAATTAATCTGAATTGAGCACAAAGACTTACAATGTGAATGTTGCCTATGTCTGCAAACATAAAATCGCTTAAGTTCCTGTGTGGGAGCTCTGGTCCTCATTGGGTGTGCGTGTATGTAACGCCATATCTCAATCACCACAACTCTGTAACTAACATGGACAGCTTGGTTGACAAATGCTGATTAGTTTACTCTGAAGCTTCTTTGGCGATCTCTGGAAAGCAACTGTCAGACAGACATCACTGCACACACTGAGGGACAATATTCTGTGTTTACACTTTGCTAGTTTAGTAAACTAAGAAATAAATTAAATGAATAAAAAAGGCATCAGTGTTACATCACACTGATGCCAAAGCTGTCTGTCTGTAGCTCCACAAACCGCACTTGTTAGTAGGAGAAATACATTTTGCTTTTTGTCTTTAGTTGGGACTTCAAAGGAATAAAGTGACTTGTAGCTTTCAGGTCTTTCAGGGGAGACCTGTCATGTGGCTGTGTTTTTGTTGCCCAGTGCAAAAAGATAAATGTTAAATGGTTCAGCTTTTGAGGTGTTGCAGTGCAAATCATGTGTCAAACCACAAAGGGCAACCAGTGTCTGTTCCAGCTTACTCTTTAAATGCAGGGAGTTGCTTCTTGTTCTCCACCGTTATTTCTTTCTCTACCCTCTCTCTTACATAGCTCCTGGTGTTTGTAGAGAACCCTCAGTTTCTCTGATTGAACAGGCACTTCTACCTAAAGCATAATGTGGCGTTCAATTTGAGAAATCTTGCCTCTAACCTTAAGTTACTGCCAGTCAGTCATCAGGCCTTCTGTTTTTGCTCAGCACAATATCCTGTAGAATTCCTCATTATTTTTCATTTATTTTTTCCTCCTCTTGTGAATCTGCAGCCTCACCCCAAAGGAGCAAGGATAGACGTGTCCATCAATGAGTGCTACGACGGGTCGTATGTCGGAAACCCTCAGGACATCCACAGCCAGCCAGGCTTTGCTTTCAGCCGCAACGGCCCAGTTAAGAGGACTGCTGTAACTCACATACTGGTTTGCAGGTAAACTCGCGACCTCTGTTCAAAGCCAGCGTTCACACTCACAGTCAAATCATGCCCGACAATTTAATTAACTTATTTTGAATTTAATTTGCTTTTCATTCCGTTTGGTTTAGTGATGAGTTGGTAATCAATTGAATTAACTTTAATGAACTGTTCGAGAGCGGTGAGCTGCGTTAAAACAGATTAGAACAAATACAGTTTTTGACACTTGGCAAGAACCTAAATAGATCCGCTTCTTTCAGTCATCAGGTTTCTCACACTGGTGAGGTAATTAAAGACAAAAAGTGTGGTAAACGAAAGCATAAAAAGGCAAGATATGAAGTTCTGATAAAGGTGCTGTAGCATTTTTTTGCGCCTTGATTCCAACATGCAGGATTTGTTTTCTCCCCTGCTTCCACCAGGCCCAAGAGGACCAAACCAAGTCTGTCAGAGTTCCTGGAGTCTGAGGACGGAGAGTTGGAGCAGCAGAGGACCTACGTCAGTGGACACAACCGTCTCTACTTCCACAGTGACAGCTGCATGCCCCTGCGGCCCCAGGAGATGGAAGAGGACAGTGAGGACGAGAGAGATCCAGAGTGGCTCAGAGAGAAGACTGCCACGGTGAGAAGCCATTGTTCATTGTGTTGTGTTTGTGTCTGGCTTCACTGTTGACTTGAACTGTCACACCACTTACAGAGACACCCTTAAAGGGGTAGTTGGGATCTCTTTGAAGTGGGGTTGTATGAGGTACTTATCAATAGTTGTGTTTACTTATAGTAGGTAGCGGTCGGCATGCCCTCACTTTGGAGAAGCAGGCAAGAATACTGCCATGGAGGCCAAGTAATGTACTGCTGTGGACAGGGGCAACAGCAAAACATATTTTAGCCACGTAAAAAAATCAATATCAGTTTAAGTGTACTCTATATTTAGAATATTTTTACCACTTAACCTTAATGTCAGACAGCGCCTTCCAACAGGGAACTGAAGCCGTTATCTGTGCCCTCTTCAAAGCCCCCAGACTCCTCTGGAAAAAAAACAGTAATTATACCTCGCAGAACACGGGAGTTGCTGGTCTACCACTGCCTCGATCAATTACTTTATTGTGTCACTTTGGTTAATCCAAACAAATCCTTCAGAACACCAAAGTCACAGTCACCACTCTAGGTAATACACTCACTGTGATTACGTACCTCATACAGCCCCACTTTAGAAAATCACAATGATCCATTTAGAGGTCAGTTTCTCTAGTTATGGTGTGAAGTAAAAATTTCTGAGATCCTAGTCGGAAATTGCAACTGAAATGCCCCCTGAAGTCAGATTTTTGATCTGGAAAGTCGGAGGAACCTCCCCAACCCTGACTTGAAAATCCAAAGTGGCTGTCCTGTGCATCAGCAGTAGTGAAAGCTGTAGTTATATGCTGTTTATTAGCACTTCTGTCTTATTTGTGTCTCATTAAAACCAACTTCTATTTGTGGACATGTTGCAATGGTGTTTGTACGCGTAAAATACACCATAATGCTTTTTTATCAACTGGTATTGCTTACAATTGCTAACAACATCTAGGTTTTCCATCATTCCCGGCTCCGATTTTCAACTTCCGTGGTACATGGAACACACCATTATTCCCACTTACTGAAGCAAACACAGAATCGTCTTGGCTTGGTTTTTACACTTCTGTTATACTTTAATGTTTTACTGTATTCAGAGCTTTTCTTTGTCTTCATGTTATATAATGAGAGGCATCGATTGATTCTGAAGTGTGTGGTAATGAGTGACGTAGTTTGTGGTGTTGTTGAAGTGTGTTTTGCTTTAAGGAGGACAAGATAAGAATTTCCACGTAACATCCTGTCAGTATGTAAAAGGACATCTGGGCAGTTTCATTGATTTGACAATGCAGTTAAGTTAATGCACACTTAAGTTTACATTATAATGCTTTGCAGAGATATATACGTGAGATTGGCTGGAAGCACAGCATTTTGACCGGAAAGCTGCATCATTTGTAGTTGGTTATCAGCGATTATCATTGATTCAGAGTGACAACAATGCTTTTTATCTGTTAAAACAATAGTATTTTCTCCACTGATGCAAGTACTGTGAACGCAGTAATGCAATCAATCAAGGGAAAAATTGTGTAGGAACCTTGACTGAGGCCAAGAAACTATCGCAATCAGACTCTCACAATATTTTAAACTGGATAAAAGTGGTGGTGTGTGAGTGTTTCTGTGGAGCCCAGGGACTAAAATCTGGAGAGGGTGGAAAAAAATCAAGCTTTTGGAGTACTGATTTTTGGTGTTGGATTACCATGGCAACAAAGAGTAAAAGCATTTGGGTCAGCCCCGCTCCCCATAAATAACTTAAAGGTGCTCGGAGCAGAAACTATTGCCAAGACAGAACATTTCTTCAGCTTGCTCTTACAGCCGCACACAACATTTTTATCACTTCAGTATTGATTTCCGGAACCTGACAGCATTACCTGCTAACAGTAACAGTAATTTTACTCTCCAGGTCAGCAGAAAATACCTGAACTAAATTGATCATCATTAAAATTGTTCCGCTGCTCTCAAGATTAAACTTTTATTAAAATCTGTTATCAGGTATTAAGGTATTTAGTCGGCCCATCTTCAGTGTTGTGGTGTTTTTACCAGCTAATATGTGTTTGTATTGCATTACCATAATTGTGTCATCATTTGTAAATTTTTGTGCTTTGCTTACAGCAACTGGATGAGTTCACAGATGTCAACGAGGGAGAGAAAGAAGTGATGAAGCTGTGGAACCTGCACGTCATGAAGCATGGGTAAGTGGGAAAAGTTATGGGCGAAAGGATTCTTTTCACAGTATCAGCTTCTTTGAGTTAATACATGTAAATGCATCACATTTAGACTTTTGAGACTTTTTGCAAAATATGGTGTCATTTTCTATTATAGTACATGAATGTTCGAGAGTTAGTGCTGCTCCTCCCACAAAACATCTCTTCAAGACATCTCACGTCACCATATATAAGTTTACATACATAAAGATAGAGTATTCATTTTATTGTATTGCATTGATTCACTCACCAGCGATGTGTTGTTGCTTTTTGAGGGGCAATTAGCAGACGTCCCAGTTACCTTTGCAGCCTTGTGTTGCATTCATGTGGTATCAAAATAATCTGAAAAATTAGGTTTTCATCATATTTCATTGCTGACCTGATGTTTTCTTTTCTTTTTGTTATCAACATGTTTAAATGTTCTGAGCAATAACATACAACACACCCTTGTAGCATACATGTTGTTTCTACTTTACAAGTTAAAACTCACAAACACACCTCAGTCAGAATAACGATGATCCGAGAAGCACCTGAATGCACCAATAGCCTTGGGTGGCAGAGGTCTCGACTCAAGTCCGATTCAATCCCTTCTTTAATTAGCATAGCGGGCAGCGTGAGCTGTGCCCTACAATAACAGTGAGTAGGTGAGCGGGAGGAGTCAGGGATTTGTGAATACTAAAAAAGAGTCATTCAAAATGATTTGTTTGGTTCATTTTCGCCTGTCACTACATAGGAATTGGTAAAAGACAAACTGAAGAGAATTTCTTTTTTCCTTTCTTTTTTAAGATATTTTTTAGGGCAGTTTGCCTTTAATAGACAGGACAGGTAAGTTTGGGGGGGGGGGGGTGACATGCAGCAAATGGCCGCAGGCTGGATTCGAACCCAGGCCACTGCGGCAACAGCCATGTACATGGGGCGCCTGCTCTACCACTTAGCCACCGATGCCCCTAAAGAGAATTTCTTGAATCTTGCTGCTATAAAAAATTATATTGCCAAATATTAAACAGTGTTAAGAAGGTCACACCAGATTGAAAACAAATCCAGAGCACTTAGAACTTCTTTTGTAATCTTTCATATGTACAGGGTGTCTGTTGGAGCTGTGGCATCATACATACAGTAGTTGTACTCTTGTAGTTACAGCTACTCTTGTCCCGTTAGTTTATTGAAACATTAGAAACTAAGCTCTTCTGTTCGTTATTTTCCTGCAGTTTCATAGCAGACAACCAGATGAATCAGGCCATCATGCTCTTCGCAGAGGACAGCGGTGCTCACATCATCCGCCGCAACCTCTGCCGTAACTTCCTCCTGCATCTAGTCAGCATGCACGACTTCAACCTGGTGAGCACGGCCACCATCGACCGCGCCATGGCCCGTCTGCGACAGATCCAAGAAGAGCTTCCGGACACTGTGGAGGAGCAGCAGGACCAGACTCTGGTATCAACAGGAGCCTGCAACGGCAATGCCGTCACCTCCACTGGAGGGAAACTGGGCAAGAGGACAAAAAGCGCACTAACGGACTGATGTTGGATGGATGGATGGATGGAACAATGATTGTTGTGTTTTGTTTTGTTTTTTTATTATTTTATTTTATTTTTTTCTTCTTCAATGAACATTACCAACCCTTTGGTGCTTAGATAGGTGGGAGAACTGGTCAGCTGAGGATCTGACCTCAAGCAGACCAGTATACAAGGTAAACAAGTTTTGAAACTTGAGAACTGAACCAAATATGAACAATATAAAAGTGAATCACCCACTACCACACAAACCAGGAATTTGAGGACTGGATGATGTAAGTTGAACCTACTAAATATGCATTTTGTAGGAGCCGCTGAAGTATCTGTGTTGGGGTGAGAGAGTGAACAAACTGAGTCTTCTGATGTGGCATGACTGCCTCTGTTGTGTCCATGTTCTAGACGACTGTATCAAGACTACAGTTAAAACTGTACTGGTAATAATGTCACTCTTGATTATTTGTACACATACACAATAACCTTGTTGAGAACTTATCTTTTTAGCTGATTATTTTAGCACTTGGTGTTTGTATTTAGAAAGCTTACCTTGAAATTGTCCTTTTTTTCTTTTCTTTTTTAAAATCATGCTGCGCCAAATGTTAAATGCAGCTTTTCCACTGTCATCAGTGGAGAAACTTTAGTGGGTTTGATTTCACTGTTGTGAATGACGTTTAATTTGAAGGGTCATACAGTTACGGTAAGAATCGACACTATTGGCATCAATGTCTAGAGTATATAAAGCCTGTAAAGCTTGTGTTAGGACCCCAACATGGATTGTGGGTTTCGCTGGTAGGTTGCCATGACAATAGTTATATACTATAAGCCTTGGATCCTGGACAAGAGAATAAATTCAGATTTGGGTCCATGCTGAAACTCCTACTCTATCACCCCTAAGCCTTTTGGTCTACATTGATAATAACTCAAGGAAAGCCAGGGAAAGCAACTTTTCAGATTTTTTTCTTTCTCCTCAGATTTACTGAAACAACCAGCAGCACATCACCCCATGTATCCAGCAGAGTGCACAGCAAGTCAACAGTTTTCTGATCACCTGTGGTGTCTTTTCACGTTGAGGTTTGAACATGTTGAAATCACAGTGTTCTGAGCGTCAGTAGCTGATTGACAGAAATGTGTTTACATGTAATCACATCAGATGTTTAGCTGTTTTCCTTCTGAATCCAGTATTGAACAGATTGCAGTTCTTATCTCAAAGCAATATGCTGTTTATTGGATGGTTGGTTTTCAGGTCCAAGTGTTTTTTAGGTGCAGTTTATGCCAAAGGGGAATACTTTCATCAGTCTCTTAGTTCTGTATATTATTTAGCATCTTTTCTTTTCTTCATTCCATAACTGTTTTTTTTTTTTTTTTAGCAGCAGCAGCAGTAGTTGTTTTCTAGCGTGCACATGAGTAGGTGATCATTATCACCACTCATTGTTTCATCAGGACTTTCCTCGTGGACAACCAAATTGACAACATATTTTTCCTCCCTCTGATATTCATGGAAGGTTTCTGTATTCATCTGGAAAAAGAGAGACATTCACCATTATTGTCAGAACACCCTGTGAAAAATTGTGAACTGTACACTCTGGCTAAGGGGATTTTTATATTTAAAGAAATAAAATACATTTGACCTTTAAGCACGGCTGTAATGTTTTAGCAATTCTGGACATTAGCCATCATTACAACTCTCTCCGTCATGGTCTCTGCCCAGCAGGTCCATTTGAAGAATAACCCAGCCTGAGTTATACCATTCCCTTCAGGCTACAACCTCGGTTTATAAATTATATATAAACAATTAATGCAACAAAAAGTTACAAATATATTGCATGTGGAATGAAATATTTAGTTTTTCAGTAGCATAGCTGTTTCTTCTTACAGACATGGTCAGCTGCATCTTATTTTACACGTCATTTAGGTTGAGAAAAATCCAAACCAGAAAAACAGTTTTCTTTCCTCAAAGCTGCTTACTCAGTTTTTCAGGAGCTTTTGACCGTATGTTACTGCCCTCATCACCAGATTGAGTTTGCTTTAGACAGTTTTCAGAGGTGGGACCAAGTTATTGTTTTGCAAGTCCTAAGTAAGTCTTAACGTCTCAAGTCAAGACAGGCAAGTTCCAAGTCCTAACCGTTAGCGAGTCATAAACAAGTCATAATGCGCTCTTCACCAAATGTAATGCCATTTCAACAACATTAATAATGTATTAAATTGGAAAAGTTATAGATGCTTTTTAAAATTTGTATTTATTTGTTGAAGCAAGTTTGCTTTAAAAAAAAAAAAGTTTGTTAGCTGTTAAGCTAACATTAGCTAAGCAAAAGCCTTCTAACTGTGTTAATATTAGCCTTGACTTACTCTTGGTGCAGCTTCAAATGTCTTACAAAGTTGGAAATTGTTGCATATCTGTCTGTTTTTGTACATGAAAGAAATGATCTTTGGTATCACTTTTTCTAAGTGGCACTCAGAAACAACGTTAGTTCCTTGTGGTTCACTCCTGCAACTTGACTGGACGCAGATTGGTTCCAGCAAAGTGGATCAGGGGAATAAGGTTTCGACTTCCAGGGAATGAACAGTGTTAACACTAGTTGACTCAGGAAAATGAAGGGAAATGAATTTATTTGTTGCACACATTTTAAATATACTTTTTCTATAGTCTAAAGTCATCAAATTTGTGATTAAGTCTGACTCGAGTCCATACCTCTTAGAGTTGTACTCGAGAACAGGCAAGTTAGTGAGAAGATATTTTTCATCTGTTGTTTTCAAGGTAAAGAATTAATGATCAAGCTCAAGTTACTCAAAATTAATTACTGAATTTAATAACTGAATTTTGCTTTAGTTTTGTGACGTATTAGTCAGTTCTATTGCAATGTAAATAAACTGTAAAGGTGCATCACAGTGGCTGAGGTCCAGTCCTAACAAGCTCTTAGGACCAGACCTGTTTTAATACAAATGTTCACATGAGGCAACACTGACTATGAAGTACATGCTAAATGAAACTTTGCATGTCTCCAGTGAATACCAAGAGAAATAGGATTGACAAGAGTGCAGACCTTGCAAATTTCCCAGTTACATAAAATGTCATCAGAAATATAGTCTTTGCAGACTCCAGTCTGCATTCATTCTAAAGCAGGGGTGTCAAACTCATTCTAGTTCAAGCAACACATACAGTAAACCAGACCAGTAAAATCGTTGCATAATAACCTATAAATAACAACACCTCCAAATATTCCCTTTCTTTCCAGTTTTTCCACGTTCAGTCCGTTACTACTATCTCTACATGTGTATTTTTCTGTACTGTGTAATAATGCTGGCATCACCACACCAAAGTAAAGTGGAAGCCATTGAAGAAGCAGGGTAAGTTATCCCCTGCCTCACAAACCAGTTACAAATCAAAAGTTCTGTCAGTGCTTTAGCAAAAGGGTTTCACTAATGTTGTTTTAAGATAGAGGTCTGATACAGATTCTTCGTGTTGGAGCTGCAGATTGACAATATCTTGCACAGTGTTCAATATCTTTAAATATGATGTTTTATGGCAGGTGGCAACCAATGTTAAGGTGCATTACCAGTCTTTAAATATGACCTCAAGAAGTATTCATGGTTATTTCAGGGAGCTGTATCAGGTTGGAAAAGCCTCTGAAGCAGCATTTTACATGAAATGATAACTAGCTGTTTAGCTTGTTCCTGAAACCTGACAGCTCTCAGCCTTCACAAGTGCATCAATATTAGGTGTGTTGAGTCATCCAGTGGACTGTATTGGACCCTTGGGGTGGGCCAGTTCTGACCTGTGAGCCGTATGTTTGACACCCTGATCTAAAAGAAGGAAATACTCAATACTCTTTTGCTTCTAAGAGTCTTCCTCAGTTGTGTATCTCCTTTTATTTTATCATTATTTTTTTAAACTGGTTAATTATGAAGCTCCTTTGCTCATAGGAGTCTGTCAGGAAATGTTTCCTCTCTCAGACTTCACACTCCATCTGTAGCAATATAAAGCACAGTCTGTCTCCCTCAGTCCTCTTGCTAGTATCAAAACATTTTATGTGTAGATAAAGAGTAGCTGTCATAAGAGGACTATTATGATTCTTGGCAAAAAAAAGTCACGTGTTTGTTGCGGGACATGTCTTTACTGACAGGGCCCTCTGGCTGATGGGAAGGATCTGTGGACAGTCAAGAGAACATGCTCATCATTTACTCAATTTTACTAAATGCAAGCGCTGGCACACACCTAGTTTAACTTATTTTTAATTTGTCTGGTGGCTAGTCATCTACCGAAAAAAGAAGTATGCTTTTGGAGGGCTGTGCTTTTCAATAAAATGCATTTTAGACAGTACAGCAAGCTGCTCTCTGTGAGTTAGGACCAGGTTAGGACGGCAAAATACACGATCTAGGAAGACACTTAAAACCAGCTGACAACAGGAAGAGGTACCACTCCGCATTTGATTCTGGGGGAGAAAGAAAATTAGTATTGGAGTGACGAATGTAGAGGAAAATATATCCTCCATTAACATTACAGTTATTTTTTAATGCCGTCAGCATTTATTAACGACGTTAACGCTTATTTGAGAGGTAGTTTTAACGACTTTTGCCGCATCTGAATCAGTTCGGTTCACTCGCTGCACTTCGCGAATTCTTCAGTGTGATTTGTCTGTTGTACACGATCTTCGGCTACACTCAACCTTCTCGCGCACAGTTTAAACGTCATTTCACAGTTTCAAAACACCGACTGTTGAAGAGTGAAGGGCAGAAGTTTGTTGTGTTTGTTTGTAGCGTTCACATTTGCATACTTTAATTAATTCACCTAATATGCAAGGTTTGGTAGCTTGGTCGGTGTAAGAGAAATTTTACGCTTCTCGCCGAAGCTACCGTCGCAAAAATGAGGTTACTGCCTCATTATGTGTGACAAGCAAGCGCCAAAGCTAAAAGTCTCTCACTGCGGAGTCCTTTATGATGCGAAACAAACTCAGCCGGAGCAAGAAATGTGTGAAAGATGCTTCATGTCCGAGCAAAGACCACCCGCGAACCGTTGACGTGATAACATTGGTGGTGTCAGAGTCGAGCTGCTCCAGTGATGAAACATCTCCAGGAGGAGACACAGCTGTTGCTGCTGCAGGCACCTCCACCGAAGTCAAACCACTTCAGGTACAGAGGACGTCTTTATGCACAAGAGACATTAAAATTGCACCAATTTTCCTTCATGCAGCACAGCACGGCAAGAGGAAACGGAGCAGTGATGGGAAGCTACATCAGCCTGTGGAGAAGCAGCAGGAAGCAGAGCTCCCTCCTCAGACTGAAGATGTGCAGCTGGTGAAAAGTCAGCAGCATGTATCAACAGTTTCTCACCTGACAGAGAGGAGGAGGTCCTGGAGAGGACAGCTGTCCCCCTCAGCTCTGCACAGCTGTCTGGAGGAAATCCAAACAGCCAACCCAGCATTTCCAGCCCTAACAGTGTTCAACACTTTGCAGAGGAAAGCAAGTGAAAGGCAGCAAGATTTTGGACCAACAGGTGAGACTGAGTTATTATTCTGAATGTACTTTATTTTCATTTATTATTCATTCATTAAGCATCTCTCTCCTTTTCAAAGCAGAAAATCTAAGCTCCCAACAGAACCATTTAAAAGAGAAAAGGAAATGGGACAGTGAAAGCTTTGAGAGGATGCCCAAACGTCTGAGGTCCAGTCTCTCTGCAGATGGTACTGTTGGTATGGGACACTGTCTCATGTCAGCACAAGGTGCTCAGGAAGACACCGTCCTGACAGTCAAGAAGCAGTTCAGAAGCAACAAGCTAAGTCGTACTTACAGACTGAGGCAGCTATGTGAGAGCCCAGCAGGCCCGGTGAACAACTGTGATCTGAACTCTGGGTTGATCAATCACACAGAATCTCAGAACAAGTCAACCACAACTTCTGACATCATCCAGAGAGGTAAACTTGTCATATGGTGATAGTTTTATGACATTTTTTCTGTCATTTACATTGCAGGAAAGTAACATTTTCCCCGCTCTTTTGTCTAGATTCCAGTTTCGAGGATGTTCTCTGGACAGACAAGTACAGTCCTCTGCATTCAAGTGAAGTAACTGGCAACTCTGCCTCTGTGAACAAACTGCAAAGGTTAGTTTTACATATTTAGTTCTCTCATACTTTCACTGATATATTGGACTTGATATCCGTGTGAACATATTCTTTTATTTTGGTTATTCTCTAACATGCAGTTGGTTGAAGAAATGGAAACTGAGAGCTGGCTGTGACGAGAGGAGAAAAATAGAGGAGAGGAAACAAGAAGAAAACAGCAGTGGTAAGAGCTGGCATTTGTCACACTTAACATTTTCTCTTGTATCTCAGCTCAGAGTCAACATCTTAATGCGGTCTCATGAGCCATGACCAAAAATTTTTTTACAAGTCTGCTTATGTTTTTGAGTATCCACATGACATTTAATGACTCAGGATTTCCCAGAAATTTCCATCTTTCATGGGAAAAGTATCTGCTTCCTGTGCAGACTCGTGGGACTGTGGAGACTTCCAGGGTGAGGCTGGGGCAGAGGGAGACAGAGAGGAGCCGTTGTGTAACACCATGCTGATCACAGGACCTCCAGGTGTGGGCAAGACTGCTGCAGTGTATGCCTGCGCTCAGGAGCTTGGCTTCAAGGTTG